CGAACCTATCATGATACTAATATTAAAAAATTAAAGGGATAATAAATTAATTTAAATAATCCAACACAAAAAAAGGCGTTAATGAAGACAAAACAATGACAAAGAGGGGCATGAGAGTAAAGTGTACACCCCATGATCATCCAACAACAACAAAAAAAGAAGACAACCACATCTTGACATTATAATGTCAATAGGTTCCAAAAAGAAGAAAATTCACAATCTTCATGGCTTCGGAAAAATCCAAAAAACCTGCAAAAAACAAAATTTTAAAATCAACCATATTCCACGCACAAAAATATGCAAATGATTAAAAAAGGTCAATATTTAATCTAGCTACCTCCTTCACATGCAATTACGTCTTGATTAACTCGTCTTTACTCTGTAGAGAAAATATAATTATATGATTAAATTAGTTTCCAATAATGTATAAAAGACTAAAAGTATATAAATTAATGTTAGTGACTTGATAACTAATACCGCACATCCTTTATGCTTTTTAGTTATTTTTGTGTATTGAAGCTGATAAACACTAAAACCCGATGTTGATTCTTTTTCCTTCTTATGCTTTGTGCCAAAAAAACATGACAAGAAAACAAACATATTAGCATATTACTTTCAAAACTATGCAAAGAGAGTAACTTTATATCCCCTTTAGCTAAGAAATTAAAGTATTACTTGTTGGAATTTTTGGCATTTTTAATAGTCATTAAATGGACCAACTTAGGTATATTTGTCAATAGGTCTACTAACGGTTTTTTAACCGTTAATTAATGGACGTGTGTTCTCTTAAATGAGATAATGTTTTGATAATTGATACGCCAAAAATGGTATAGGGTGAATGAGAAATTGATTTTCAGAGTTAACCCGTTAATAGAAGAATATGGTAAGGATTGCAATTTTTGCATTTTTACTTAACCAATCTTTTATTATTAATTTTACGTATTGTTTAAAATTAGTCCATTTTTACGGAGTTAACTGGCCATTAATCTCCAATTATTCGGGACAAATTTTAAACAAGCGTAGCGTAACAGACGTGTTAATGGCTAATTAATCACTATCAACACGCCATTAGTGTGCCACAAATGCCTTGGATTTAATAGTGTATAAGTTACATTTTTTAAATTGGCTTGGTTATAAAAAGCAAAGGGTCTCTCCATTTTCTTGGCTTGGTGCGTGAGGAAGAAAGAAAAAAATTGGGAAAAACTTTCTTGTTTTTCTTTCAGAGAGAGCTCTAGATTTTCCGGCCGAATTTTCGGAAATCCCCTTATATGTTTTTGGTCGCCAACGTTCCTACGTTGTTCTTGTTCGTTGGTGTGTGGTTGGTCCATACAATCTCCACACACGATAGCG